GGCTTTCTTTTTAGATTGAGCTACAGATAGATGAAACACTCTGTCAATAATTAGAATTGATTTGTGTTTCACTTTAGAAGAAAGAACTGAACGCACAAATCCACTAGAAGAAGCAGGAAGCGAAGCAAAACTTAAGATTGTGATCACAATAATTGTTTTATAGAATAGTTTCTTTTGAGAAATCAGATCAAATGTGTTGTTGGATTTAACATCAAGAGCTGATCATAAGCATTTGGTGTACTGTTTATCAATTCTGAGTTCTTATGATCATACTGATCACAAAAGGCTTATTTTGTAGCTGCAATGTCTATATAGGCAGAAGAGCCTTGATCAAAATAAAGGTGCAGTTTCATGTTTGACCACAGTGTGGCAGCATTTCCTCTGAATCAGCTTACATTGAACCACAGGCTGTGATATATTAACAGTAGAGCTACTACTGCTGTTACTGTAGCTGCTAGTACAATCACCACATGACACCAGTGTAAACTATAAGGACAGCATCAGCTCAAAGCAGAGAAAAGCTCTGTAGTGTAACAGTTTTATTCCTTGGTGATTTATGAAATTCACTTCTGCAACAAGAATAAATATACCAATATGTCACCAAATATGCCAAACACTAATTCAACACTCATTCAACAGCGATTACTTTCTTTTGTATTTTGTCATCTCACCAACCCATACATGGTGGCAAAGGAAATATCAATGTAAAGCTTCATGTTATTTCTTAAACTGGTTTTACATACTCCTGTGTATTGATTACTGTCATGAATGTAGCATCATTGATTTTGTGGCGAATGGGAGTACATACTGCACATTTACATGATGACTCATTCAGATTAAAGATGGTTCATGCATAATGTCAGTATGTTATGAAGTAACTAACAAATACAGACAATCTCCCCCTGATTCTTCAAGATTCATCACAGTGACATGTCCTGATAGAAGATAGAGGTTGGCAGCTGGGTTTTACCAAACCCATTGTTTACTTTGCAGAAAATCCTGGCAGGTTCAGTATCTTCCTTATGGAACATGAGTAGTATTTTAGAAAGTAACTAACATGCAGATCTCAGTTTGTCAGTATATCATGAATCACACAATGGGCTTCAAGTGTTGGAAACATTGCTCATTTTCTAATCAAAATTTCAACTTTTCTCATGTCAATGTAAGGCATTTTCCCTATTATTTAAATAGTACATCTAATCTCCTTGGTTTGTTCTCACATGATTTACATATTTGAAGTGAGAATGTATTTATGTACCGATTGTGATCTACAATTGTTTATTGCTTTATTCAAGATAATATGAAATTAGACCTGTATGTGTTCTTTCTGAAATAAAGACATAAACCTGAAAAAATAACTTGGAAAAAAGATTCTCTTGCACGCTCTCTCTTTCTCTGTGATCATTTTATAAGTAAATATAGCCCACAGCAAAGCACTGGTGATTTTTCAATCACGTTTTGAGACTGAATAAGGAACTGTCTTCATGTAATGGAAGGGTGTTCAAACAATGAAAATGGTTTGTTATTAGGCCCACAATCCCTCAGAAGTGTTCAATGACCAGTTTCCTGGAATCGGCCCATTCTAAACTCCGTCAACACACACAATACAATAACATATGATAATAGATGAATCAATGTAGCGCATCTGTCCAGAGGAACAGGAAACAGTAAAAGCTTCTGACATAAACATACAATGGCACAGATTCTTAAATGGGCAGACATCCGCCTGTAATGAGTAGAAAATGTTTGTACTTTGTATAGGGCCAGGAAAATGTTTCAAAAATACATTAAAAAAGGGATGAGCAATAAAAAGAGATCCTGCAAAGGTAGCATGTGTTAACAAGTACTAAAACAGCAGTCAAAGGTCATGACGGATGACTCACAAGTCAACAGCAAGTTTCACAGAGACAGAGCTAACGGCAGACAGCATTACCACCCACTCCGGTGGGAGGACCTGAATGTTAATTAGAGGTGTCAAGTTTGATTAAATATCTTTAAATCTGTAACATGTTGATTCTGCAGTATAAATGAGTTACGTGCATCTGTTTTTTAACAGATTTTAAAACATAATTTTACCAAAACTTGTTGTAATAATACAGTATTACAAAACTAGCAGCATTTTCTTTAATTTCGCAAAAAATAAGTTTCCTTGTAAAATGTATAATTGCAAAAAATATGACTAAAGAAAAAAATATTTTGTCTTTTTGCAGAAATTAACTACAACTTCACAGATGTAAACTGAAAAAACACAGGTACTGACTATCCAATGAGACGGTTAAATACAAAATTTTAACAAATTGTGAATTTCACTTTATTATTTTAGCATTTGGTGTACTGTTAATCAATTCTGAGTTCTTATGATCATACTGATCACAAAAGGCTGATTT